CAAGGTATAAACAGCATATTTGTGTTGCCTTGTCATCACTCTGTATTGCCAAGTAAAGGGAAGATCCAACATGTACAGACCTCATTTGGCGTCGCTTGCCAGGACTGGCTGTCGCTCGCCAACATTCGTCTGACTTCGTCCTCAAGAACTGATAGCGCACCAACGTATGGACAGCTTCACAAAGCTCGTCTATATTGGTCTTATTTAAACTTGCCCAGCATCTAGACGGTAGCACTTGCCTTGTATCAGTTTTTCTACGCTCGCGTTGGGTAAAGCTCAGCCAACATATTTTGGCAGCTTTAGGGAAATGTGTTTTGCATACCTCGTCCCCGGGTGTGAGACCAGGTTATGTGGCACTTCTCCCTTATCATATCCTCCACCCTAAAATCTTTACTCGCCAAGACAGCATGTGGTAAACTTCAGGTTTTGCTCTGCAATTAGATCGCATTGCATATTTAATTACTTTGAGAACTAAACTGCAGAATCCAGTATGAATATCAAAATTTAGGTAAATATTCAACACGTTTAATGGAAACGCTAAAGTTACCCAAAGTCAGAATAAATAACAGTAGGTATATGCGGAATAATTTGTATAAAGTGCTGCGGAATATTCCGTAATGCATTATTTATGTAGTTTCATCACAGACCACCCACCAGAGACCGCATACATGGGCACCCGCTTGTGGCAAGCTTAGGAAGTTTCACTACTTAAGCGTTCAATCAGACATCGAGTAACAGCAGTACATCGTTTCGTCAAAGGAATCATTCTTTTCTCTATACAACTCTGCCCAATTTTAACCTCAAATAATATCATGTTACACATAACTGTGTCGAAAAAATACACCGAATCCATTAAAAATATATATGAGTTTTTATCAACCACCACAAAAAATATGTTGTTTAATCATTCAAAATTTATTGCGACACATGTGATATAGTATGGTAAATATGCATCTTTAAATTTATTAGAATATGCTACGACAATCATAAAAATATAACCTGATCGGTAAAAGGGGTCGGCTAAAAGGCTATCTAAGGTACTAAAATATCATTGTCATATCCATATTTACAATCTAACGTAAACAGTCACGTTTACGTTTCGATACAACAACAATCAATTATGATGTATTTAAAAAAAATTAGTACCAAGATACAAAAATGGGTAGAAATCGAGTCTGCTTTTTCATCCGACACATTTCATACGTCGCATTAACGCGTTCAATCAAAAAGCGGCTTACGCTCCCCGCACGCCCGCAACATTAGAGATTTTTATTTTAGACAAATATTGAGTAATGCGGACTCTGCGTGGGGGTGTTCTGTGATTCTCAATAACCATTTGTCTATGCAACCGTAGTCTGCTGCCTACTCACCGGAAGACTAATAGAACGAAACTGCAAACTTATTTACCTTCTGGTAAAATTTCGACTCCTTAAATAATGTAGCTATTTATTGGAAACGTGGTCGTTCAGTGGTTTAAAAAGAATCTAAAAAAACAGTGAAGTATTCGTCAAATTTGTGTTGTTCTTAAAAAGATGTTATTACTGCAGCAATCTTTGATAAAAAAAAACTTTTTATTAAACGCCACATTGTATAAGTTTGTCGTCATGTAGTAGAATCACTTTGTCTTAATTTATTACAAAATGGCACTGCGCCATTATTCATGCAATAGTTCTTTGGTATATTCATTTTTTTATTCAGCACTTCTTTTGACTAGTTGTTTAGAATGATGCAAGATATAATTGAGAATTGAAACCAGTCCTCGATGACGCTTTTTAATTAATGAGTAGCTTTGAAATTAACTTTATGTTTTACATACTCAATGTTATTATTAATAGTTCACTATTTCAGTTTAACCACATCTCACTGTCAAACCCTAATTTTCTGCCATTTCGTAACAGACGAAGTTTGACATAATTACATAATTAATGTATAATATAAACGTTTAACAGATGAATCACGTTACACCATTAAGTTCAAAGTTACATTAGCTCCAACACACTGTTATTAAATTAGATGTGATGTAATGCTACGATTTTGTCGTTGCCATCATTAATTGATAATCTTTTTATAAATATTCACTAATTTCAATACACACGTATTGAAATTGTGATTTTATTCGATATTGAGAGGTAAATTCGAAGAGACTTGAATATATGAATATTTTAGAAAAATTTATTGAGTAAAGAGGGTGACCCATTTGCGAACCAGCAAGCCAACGGTTTAAACTGCTGGCTCGCCCGGCTCGTTGGCTTTCGTTGGTGATCCATTGGCGCGCAAAACAGTCTACTCTTATCGTTGGCGAAGTCATGCCTTGTTCTCAGGCGGAGTTACTTTGTTTCTTAGATATACTGTTACAACAGAAAAAAGAACCAAAAAAGAAGGAGAAAAGCCGCCATAAAGTTTGGGTAGAAAATGTTCCTTAAATCATTGTACAAACTCCAGCACTAACTCGCGACAAAACGAGCGTAAATCTATTTTTGTAGCTACTGGATGTTGCCGCGCAGCGAGTGCACTCGCCACCAAAGTCACTAAAAGACGTTTTTCGCTAGGATTTCAAGCATGCACAACGAGCCAGCGAGCAAGTCCGCCGGTTTTTAAATCCGCGGACTTTTAAGTGCTTCGTTGGTGGATTAGTTAGACCTTTGGTTGTGGAGTTCGTTGGCGTACGGCGGTTTTGTTGGCTAGTGGAGCAGCCCCTGCTCTCGGCATTTTATAGAATTAATGATGTAACTAATGTCATGCGATTTACTTGCATTGTTTTGATTTTAAAGACTCGATTTGATATGAAATACTTAGATCAATTTGTAATAATTAGTATATTTTTATAATTATTTGTTCATAGACGTCTTTTCTTTTTATTATTTTCTCTAAGGTTAAACGATAACTTTTTTTGGAATTCGTTCGTAAAAATACCGTACTAGTGCGAGTTTTCAGAGTAGTACTCGGCCACTGAAGGTTCCGTACAAAGGACTTGGTAAAATTTTGTATGAGCGACTGCCCTAGCAATGTATAAATATTGTACTTAGTAATATTTAATGCTGAATGGCTGAATGTTTATAATATGTATGAAAAAAGGCTCGGGAACTTTTGATAAAGCCTTAATCTTAAAAATTATGAGAACTCCTACTATGTCATAAACCTTGCTATATTTGAAAGTATGCCTTGATACATTACAGAAGACGACAGTAAAATAACATTACCTTTTGGTGGTGTTGTGTTTCTGTCGGGGAGTAAGTTTCCAGAGCTCCACGAGATCGGGGATGGTGTCAAGATGGGGAACGGCGCGAGCGATGGCTTTGTTATCGCAAGCGTCTATAATCTATGGTGGCCGCTTACCATCAGGCGGGCTTGTTTGTCACACTTTCAACATTTAAAAACTAGACTTACAGGGCTTGTGAATTCAATTCTAAAAAAACTTATAGTGATATTTTTATAGAACCTTCTTAAGTTCAGTTCTGTGATCCAATTTGCTGTAATATCAATTTGTAACTATTGTAAGGAGTAAGAACTCGTTGATTATCTTGCTTATAATAAAACTTTTCCTTTATTGTTTTGTGAACATTCACTGCCGTATTCTACTAAAACAAATGTCCGTTTTTAGACCGACTTTATCTGTATTTGACGTTTTGTAATATGACAGTTTGAGTGGTTTGTATCAATGATTCTTGTTTCTGCAATAATTAAGCTTGCCAAAACTCCAACACTGATTGACATTTAAAGTTGTAGCTGAATAAAATATAGTATAATAAGACTAACTTCGCTTAAAATGTCATTGCATAATAAAATCAATGTTTATGTCGGAGGATGATTTTATAAATCGAGTTTTCGCAAATATCTTAGGAATTTTGAATTCTCATACATATGAATTTGACTTTTCATTTCATATTAGCTTCATTCAATGGTTATATTTTTTTAAGCATATGACTGCTACACGCTACCTGCATGCTACCGCGGCCCTGATAGCCGCGTCGAAATTCTTCTAGCCATTCTCTAGCCAGCGCCATCTCTTCGCATTTGCACTTGGCGCTGCCATGCAGTTTAAGAATGGCTAGAAGAATTTCGACGCGGCCATCAGGGCCGCGGTAGCATAATTGGTCAGTGCATTCGCTCGGATAGAGAAGGGTGCGGGTTTGAGTCCCGTCTGCTGCCTGGTCCGCGTGGATTTTTTTCTGTTTATATTTTCTTTAGATTTAAACATCAAGCAGTTACTTTAAATAAAAATTATAACTATAATTGCTATTTCTTCTTTCAAATGTTGAATTAATACTTGTAAAAGTATTTATTTGATATTGTGGGTTACCATTAATGCGAAGAGATGGCGCTGCCTTGCAGCTTAAGAATGGCTAGAAGAAATTTGACGCAGCTATCAAGGCCGCGGTAGCATAATTGGTCAGTGCATTCGTCCGGATAGGGAAGGGTGCGGGTTCGAGTATCGTCTGCTGCCTGGTCCACGTGGATTTTTTTCTTGTTATGTTTTCTTTAGATTCATTCAATCGTTTTTTTATTTATTAAAACGGGTTAAATCTATCAGCAATGCTGTAGAAAGCTGAAGAGTATGTTTATTGTTTGTTGTACGCGCGAATTTAAGGAACTACTGCAGTGCTATTCTGTAAAATTATCACAATTTTACAGAGTAGCCCTCCTGGTCCGATTTTAATATTACTATTTTGTTGGATAGTTTTGTTGTTGTTGCACATATCGAGGAAGGCTTTAAGCTATATATCGTAACGCTACGACTAATAGGAGAGCAGCACTAATGAAAAAAAAAAAATGCAAAAAACGGGAAATAATATTCCATTTGTGAGCTTACGTAGCGTGTGCTGCAAAAGTTACACAAAAATGATGTATGACGGAATTGTTCCGCGACAGCATAATTTATGTCTATAATAATGATCAATGATCCACTATAACCTTTTGCTTCAAATCAATGCGGATGAAACCTGTAGTTAAATGTAATTGTGAAACTTAAGACCTCTCAAAATACGTTTTTGTTGTGACAGGTGGCGGGTTCATGCGTCTCTTCGGGACATACCTGGCGACCCACGGCTCATCACTCGGCACTTACTTCAGACTGCTCCGGCCCAGAGGGGTCCCCCTGGACTTCCGCGAGATATTGAAACGCGTCAACACACCGTTCAATTTTTGCTTGAAATTGCCTGGATCCGCTTCATTGGCTGACGTGAGTGGTCTGCTGTAGACTTATTTACTTAATCACAACTTAAAATTTAGACAAGGACCAGCAAATTACCTGATTATCTTATGTTAAGTGTAAATGGAATCTAGCTGACGTAAGAGTAGACATCGTTACTTCAATATGACTATTATAATTTTTTGCTGGGTGCCTGCCCGACCTAGATGCGGTGATGTCCCCCAATGGGGATCTCGCGGTTCCGCATTTAACAGCGTAGAGGGTATTCGCAAGGTTTGTTAGCGGATATACGCCGTACGCGCTCGTAAGCCGCGTGGACTGATTAACAGCTTCTCCGTTACGCAAACGTGCGACATGTGAGAGGCTAGGTGTGAGGTCCGTTTGTTGGTGTGCTCCTGAAGAGCGCCAACGTCTGTAAATAGAGGTTTTGCCTGCGTAAAAAAAAGAAGGTGGCTGCCCGACCTGTTGTTAAAAAATGGTTTAAAATGAACGTGTTGAACTTTAAATAATATTAATAAAACCACCATAATCTAGATTTGTCACAAGACTGTCTATTTTATTATATTTATAAATAGGAATAGAAACGTCAATTTATAAAGAAGTTTCAATTCGTAACATTCTCCCACGCCTAAAAAACCATTATTACTAAGAGATATTTAATCGCTAGTAAATTCTTAACGATAATCGCTCAAAATGCAAACAGAAACAATCTTCAACAAAGTGTCATAAGTATTCATTTTATTTTACTTTAACAAAATAATTCATATGATATGACATTAACGGATATGGGTTGAACATAAGAATATACCCTATTTCAAGAAAAAAATAAAATCTTAATAACCCCAGTACCATAGACTAATAATACAATGAAATGAAATTTACTAGGAAACGTAACTTTTCTTCCACTTCTAGTAGCATATGGTATGACATCTAGTACAGAACTTACCTTAGACTCATCTACATCAGCAGTCAGTGGAGAAAGAGGAAAAGGAAACTTGTTACCTTGTATCTCCAACTTGTAGAGACGTTGTACTGGTCGTATTTTTACTCCCGTAGAAGTTTTAATTCGCGCAGTTCTCTGCACACCGTCACGACCTGTAAACAATTCTTCAACAATACCAAAAGGCCATTTCACTCTCTTCTCACTACTTTCGACAAGAACTATATCACCCATATTGATTGAATCCTTCTTGTCATTACCCTTTCGTACAAGAAACGCAAGATAATCGGTTTTGAAACGTTTCCGAAATTGAGTTCTTAACTTTTGCATAAACCGGTATCTAGCATTTAAACTATTCGAGTCAATAGTATCCAGATCCACTACTTCTGAACTTGGGATAGCATGAATAAAATGTGATGGAGTTATCGGTTCCAGGTACTCTGCCTTATCTTTGTTAATAAAAGTCAGAGGCCTTGCATTCTTTGTTGCTTCACAATCACATAATATGGTGTGCAACTCTTCGTAAGTTGCAACAGCTTTACCAAGAACACGACGAAGTAGATCTTTCAGTACTCTAATAAGGCGCTCCCAGTATCTGCCCCACCAAGCAGCCGTAGGAGCATTCATCCTCCATGAAATGCGGTTCACTACAGAATACTTTGAACCTCCACCCAATCCAAGGAGCTAAGTAAATTTTTTGTACCTATGAAGTTCGTGCCATGATCTGAATGCAACATTTCTACTCATCCGCGTCGAGCAATAAACCTTCTCAACGACATCGTGAACTCTTCAGTTGACAAGGATCTCGTTGTCTCCATATGAACAGCTCGATATACTGCGCAGGTGTATAATACTATCCAGCATTTTAGTCCATCACGCAAAAATAGCGGGCCTGCTAGATCCACCCCTGTTGTTTGAAAAGGTGCAGAACAAACCATACGCTCAACAGGTAACGGTGCTGCAGGAGCTACAGTAGCCTTTGATCGATATCTTTTACAGGTAACGTAAGATGAAATTACTGACTTTACAAGCCTTCGTACACCGATAATACAAAATCTTATTCGCAAGTCAGATATCAATTGATTAGCACCAACATGCTGCAACTGTTCATGTCTTTGTCGAACCAACATTTTAACAATTCTGTATTTGGAGGAAATCAAATAGGGAGACTTCACAGTATCAGAAAAGTCTGATAGTAAAAGTTTCGTCCTTACTCTTATTAATCCCTCGTCATCTGAAAACTTCGACAAGCTACTTTCTTCTAATAAATCCTTGTCCTTCATCTGTATTATCTTAATAACTATTTTTTCCGCTTTTACATATTCCTCATAGCTTAGCTCTTCTTTCTTCCTATTACTATGTCTTACATTATATACAAACCTGAGCATCCATGCTACCATTCTAATAACCTTCGAATATTTCGAGAAATATGTACTTACGAAGTTTTTGCAAAAAATCAACATAACAAGTTATATTTACATTACTTACAGTTATTTTCGTATCTAAACTCACATGCTTTTCATCGTGTACATATTCAGAACGAGGCCATTTGTTTTGCGATAATCTTAACCATGGAGGTCCTTCCCACCAACGAGATTCGAAGAGCATTTTTGCATTACACCCTCTGGACGCCAAGTCTGCCCAATTATCTTCACCTTGGATGTGATGCCAATTATTTATGTTGGTGTTTTCCCTAATTTCTTTTACTCTGTTTTTCACAAATGTCTTCAAAGGCAACTCATTCTTTATCCAACATAAGGTGACACTAGAATCTGTCCAGCAGTATTCTGTACAATTTTCAAGATCAAGATTCTGCCTGACGTTCTTCATCAGTCTTGACCCTAGCAATGCGGCTGTGAGCTCTAACTTAGGTATGGTAACCTTTTGTGTCGGCGTGACTCTAGACTTAGCCGCAATCATTTGCACTGACACAAAATCCGCTTGTTCAGCTCGTAGCAATACACATGCACCATAACCATCTTTACTCGCATCAACAAATAGATGAAAGCTGATTATCATTTTCTTCAAGATCTTAGTCGGTACAAGCCTGCGTGGAATTTTGCATTCTTTGAGGTAAGTAATGTATTTATACCAATCATGGAACTTAGATAATAATTCTGTAGGTAAAATGTCATCCCAACCGAGTTGAAGCTTCCATGTCATTTGTAGAGTTAGCTTTGGAACCAAGGAGACTGGTGCTGTGTAACCTATAGGGTCAAACGTGCTCTGTGCTAGTGATAATAGCTTTCTTTTCGTAACTTTTTCCAATCTTTCAAGGCAAGGCAGGTTGTCACAACTACAGCACAACTCATCTGATATGGTATTCCAATTTAATCCAAGCACTGATATCGTCTCTTTGCTCGTTTCATTTACGCCATGATATGTTACCCACATTCTGAGATTAAATTTTGCTTCCATCATAACCTTTTTTGCCTCTCTAATGAACTTATCAGCCTCGTCATTGGTATCGACACTCAGAATGGAATTGTCAACATAAAAGGATTTATTTAGCATTTTCGTAGTCGCACCTAAATTACTGTCTGTTGTGTAATTATTCAAATGATATTTTACTGTCGCTGCAAGCAAGAAAGGACTACACGTTAATCCAAAGACAACCCTACAATACCTGTAAGTTATTAAATCTTGTAGAGTTTCATCTTTATACCACAAAAACTTTAGGTAATTCCTGTCCTTTTCTACTAAACTTATTTGTAAAAACGCCTTTTCGACATCCGATGTAATACCTATTACACCTTTTCGGAAATCATTCAGTAAATTAGGAATCAGCTCTATAAAATTCATGCCCTTTTCCAGACATGCATTTAAAGACCGACCATTTTTATCTTTGGCCGAAGCATCAAACACTGGCCTAATAATGGTCTTTAATCGCTGTTCTTTAATAATAGGTTTATGGGGTAAAAAATGGCCAGTCTCTGAACTTACATCAGCCAACTCAATAATCCCCAAATCTAACCAAGTTTTGAAAACACTATCGTAATCTTTGAATTTTCCTACATTCACTAATTTCTTTACCATCATTTCCAATCTCTTCTTGGCTATGTCGAAATTAGGAAGCAAATCATTATATTCAAGTTTAAAAGGTAAATTAACTTCGTACCGCTTATCGCCTGTCCTCTTGATATTCTCTAATGCGGCAAATTGGGCGCCATCTTGACTTCGCCGCTGATCCGACTCCAATACCCCGTAAAGAAATACAACATCACTAACAGATAATGTTATTTTATTATGGTAGAGTCGGAATAAATTTAAAAAAATCAATGTATAGTTTTTGACAACAAGATAATGTAGGCCATAGTCATTATATTCCTTATCGAAAGAGTCCTCTTTAGTTTCGCTTCTCTGTTAAAACTCGTAACAAATTATGCAACATTTTTGACATAGAATAAAGTTATGTAAAGAAAGCGAAATCTCTATTTTGTGTAGATCTGCTCAGCCCGCACATTGAATATACCCTTTTTCATTGTTGACTGTGAGGCCGAGTGCGGCTCAAAACACTCGGAGTGAAGAGGCGTCCCTTTGTAGTGAGGCATTTTCGTGTTTGTTCAACAATATTGAGCAGACTAAATGGGAACGAGTATTTGTGTTACCTCATTTAGCTATTAAACAATGGACGGTAAACGGTTTCTGCGGCCGTTTCTAATGTAATAATTTTACGCCGTCTTAGATATAAAAATATTGGGCGAATAACACTCGCGTCTTGAATTATTGTTGAGCTCCTGTCAGTTATATAAATAAGAAGGTTCGCTCAAATTTGAAAGCTATCCATATATTTAAATAAACAGCTTATTATTACAATAAAATACAAACCCTTCATTTTAAGTATTCAGAACACTTTTGAATCGTCTTCGTCCAATTTTTTTTCACTAGCTACTCAAGGCTTAGTTTTGCTGACAAAAAGGATGAGTGTAAAATATACTTTGGTGAACTGAAAAGGGTTTTTTATAAGTTTTAAAATGTTTTCTGCCTCTAGAGGTTTTGAGAATTCAATCTCTTTACTAACTTATTGAGCTTTACATCAATCAAGTTTAGTACTTTATTAGGTCAGCAGTTATCTTCATCTTGAGCCTAT